GTTCGAGATTTTAATAATTGATCGACGACATGTATGTTAATCGCTTTGAGGCCGAAAGCTTATATATAGTTTCCCAAATTGTGATTTAGATGCCAAGAGAAAACTTGATCACCGGCTGGAATGCTATCGTTGGTTATTAAACACCATACAATAAAAAGCAGTTACAGTGTGCCAGTGTAGAAATATGAATTTATACTCAATACTATACATACAGTAACTACTCGCCAGACTTCATTTCTTACTAATATTCAACAATTCAGCATTTGTAGGAGAGACAAACGGATGTCTATTTGAACAGATCGTTCCAGAGATATTCCCGTCTTGTCATAATACCTACTGTACTTTGATAATATTTATACACTGTCATAGCAATGTTACATTGTGTAAAAAAATGAAATAGCAATGGCCCATTAAGTCATAAGTATAGTACTAATATATTTGATGATGGCTTATTTGTTTAAACAGCCATATTAACTGTGGTTCTCTTAGATAAATTGAAATAATCCTAGGTACTGTTTATATGGAACCCAGGCTTGCCTGTTTAGATATTATTGTGCACTTAATATTTTTATAGTCTGTTCAAATTTGATTGTATAAATTTATATGGTGAAATGGTCAGGCCATGTTCAAAATATTTCATTTGAAATGGTGGGATTTTGCTACTGGGATGAAAATTTGCCCATATACAGGTAAAGATGATGTTAGGTCATTAAGTTAACCCTGATCCCCTTACAATATCCTGAATCACACACTTACTATTATCATGATTCATGATTCATGAACAAATTTTGCCCATTCTTTTCAGACAACAGAATTTTCCTCTGTGGTAGGAGTGTGGATCATTACATGGAACAAGCCGTCTTCAAAGCTGTCAAAACAATGTCATGCATAACAACAAAACTAACTAGTCAGTAGGGAAGTTGATGGGAATTTCTCATGAAACCTAAAAGAAATTAATCCTGCTTACCAGGCAGTCTTGGCAAAGATGCCTGCTGGCTTCTATATGAATAAATATGTACCAAATAGATTGAACGAAAACATTTGCACTGTGTTGGTGGAAAGGTATGAATTTATACAGAATGTACTGTATATAAATAGTCAACCTTATACTAGTATTCAACAATCTCTATTTCGTCATCAGCCTAAGTTGTGTGACGTTGTACGAGAGAGAGTGGAGCGCATGCGCCAATCAGTTGTGTTGTTCACGCGCCAGTGATCAGTTAATATTTTTGGAGCTCGAAGAATTGTACTTGGAATCAGTCCTGAATTGTGTTTGAAACCCACCCAAAGACGAAGAATTCAGCTAAGTTTCTATCTTAATGTTATAGTGTCTCACTAGTGTAAATTAATTTAGAATGTTGGCTTGCGAAGGTGAAGATATGGCTGATATATTTCCGGCTGGCGAGCGGGAAGACCCTCCGCCACAGCAGTCGTCCAGTAACGGCTCAACGAGCACAAACGACGATCTTTTGTTTTCTTTTCTTCGCGATATGCGACAAGACATGCAATTTACGCATAAATTGTTGGCACAAATGCTTACGCAAGGCAACGCAAGCTGATCTCAAGGAGATGAAAATTTTGGCAGGAAACGCAAAGCCACAATGCTTGACGACGACGGTCAGGCTAACACTAAAAAACGTAGTAAGAATACTCACTCAGCTTCAGAGAAAGCACCAAAAGACGCTTCAGAGAAAGCAATAGATAACGCTTCAGAGAAAGCACAAGAAGTCTTTTCAGACGATGAAGTGCATGATCGGACTCAAGATGAGTCGAACATAAATGAGGACGACAGATTAAGCGTCCATGCGGGAGAAGATGATCAAATTGATCAGGCTGAACTAGTTTTCGATGAGCGTGAGGAGGATGAAGATCTTCTAGCGGTTATCAATGAGTCTTTAAACCCTTCCGATGAAACTGGGGCCCCTGTTTCACAGCGCTTGGCCAAACTGGTGAATGAAAAATTCACACTTGAGTTTGATTTTACAGAAACGTAAATCTATAATGGAGAACTATAGGACTCCTAAGAATTGTGACCAATTTCTTTCCCCCCGGGTAAACCCTGAGATTTGGGGGAGATTACAAAGTTCTGTCAAGAGAACAGATATCAAATCATCTGTGTTGCAAGATATCTTGCTAAGTGTATCCTCTGCTATAATAAATACAATGGAGGCTTTGCTTGACAGCAGAGAAAAGAAAGCCTTGCCAAATTATAAGGCACTTTTGTCAAATTTTACAGATTCTATTGCCCTCCTAGGGCATGTGCACAGAGAGATGTCGTTTAATCGTAGAGATGCTCTCCGGTCTCACCTAAATCCTGAATTTCGGCAAGCATGCTCCCGGGTTGTTAAGCCCACAGGGTTCTTATTTGGGGATGATCTATCCAAGACCATCCAAGACCATCCAAGATATCCGAGCCACAAACAAAGTTGTTAATACCGTGTCCCAGGGAACTCCTTACAATCGTGAGTCATTCCGCTTCCAGAGCCCCCAACCATATCAGACAACAGCCCGTAAACCTTTTTTATGGCAAAGGGGGAGGGGGACATACCCACACAGGAACAACTTCCGCCAAGGTTTTCGTCAACCACAGCCGTCCTCAGCCCCTCTCAAAAAGAAATTCATGAACAAATCACGTTTTTAAAGACTCAGCCTCAGGTAAATAGTTTTTCTGCTTTTATGGAGGGCCCATTTAAATTATATGTTATGTCAAGGGTGTCAACTTTCCAAGGGGGGCAGTTGTCTTCTCACTATTCTGAATGGGCAAAACTTACTTCAGATAGCTCTATCCTTGAAACTGTTTTGGGTGAGAAGACAGACTTTATAGATATTCCAATAGCCTCATCGTACCCGCCAAATAGCATATGTAAAGAACACTGCTCATTAGCTGATGCAAAAATTAAAAGTTTACGAGAAAAAAGGGTAATTATCGAGTGTGCCCATGAAGAAGGGGAATTTGTCTCCCCAGTATTCACTGTGCCTAAAAATGATGGAAGAGTCAGATTGATACTTAATTTAAAAAGGTTAAACCAGTTTATAACAAACTACCATTTTAAAATGGAAAGCATTCAAACCATCATGAAATTGGTAACTCAAAATTGTTGGATGGCCACACTTGACCTAAAGGATGCTTATTATAGTGTTAAAGTGGACCCAGCTTATCAAAAATACCTAAAGTTCTTCTATAGAGGCAAGTTGTATAAATACTTAGCACTTCCCAATGGTTTGACTACATGCCATAGAAAATTTACCAAACTTATGAAACCACCACTGGCAAAAACTGAGAGCGATGCATCATATTATTAGTGGGTATATTGATGACTTCTACTTGCAGGGTCATACATATGCCAGGTGTGCTAGAAATGTTCTTGACACTGTTTGACAACCTAGGTTTAGTTATTCATCCTGATAAGTCAGTTACCTCCCCATCACAAGAAGTTATTATTCTGGGGTTTGTTATAAATTCCATAACCATGACTATTAGAGTTACAAATGCGAAGAAGGAAAGAATCAAAACGTTTTTGATAGCGGCTATTGAAAATCCCATAGATATTTCTATAAGGCAGGTAGCTAAGATTATTGGTTACCTAGTCTCCACCTTACCTGGAGTCCAGTATGGAGCTCTGTACTACCGATACCTTGAAATGGACAAAGTATCAGCTCTAAAAATATCAAAAGGTAATTTTGATGCCCCCATGACTATTTCTAAGGATGGCCTTGTAGAGTTGAGATGGTGGGTTAATCATATAGACGAAAGTTTTAATTATCTTATGATTCCCCCAATCGACATTACAATATACTCTGATGCATCCTTACAAGGATGGGGAGCAGTACTAGGTGATACATCTTCAGGGGGGAGGTGGTCACCTGATGAATGCACAAATCACATCAATTATCTTGAACTTCTGGCTGCATTTTTTGCCCTAAAATCGTTTTGCAGGGGTAAGCATGTAAAACTCATGATAGATAATACAACAGCAGTAGCAGTAATTAACAACATGGGGTCTTGCCATAGTCGTGCCTGTCACTCGGTTGGTTGCCAGATCTGGCAATTTTGTGTAGAATATAACATTTGGCTTACCGCTGCTCACATTCCTGGTGCTAAAAATGTCTTAGCAGATAAAGAATCGCGCCATTTTCAGAGTCAGGATAAAGAATGGAAACTTAATCCACTGTCATTATATGATGCGCTCAATAATTTCAACCTGAGATAGATCTTTTTGCATCACGCTTAAATAAGCAGTTTTCTCTATATTGCTCTTACAGGCCAGACCCTGAAGCAATGTTTGTTGATGCATTTTCTATCTCATGGGCTGACTCAAAGTTTTATTGTTTCCCTCCGTTTAGTTGTTTGTTACAGGCCGTGAAGAAAATAATTCAGGAGCATGCCCAGGGAATTTTAGTTGTCCCAGACTGGCCCACCCAGCCTTGGTATCCACTGTTGGCCCCGCTTCATGTTCAACCTCCAGTGGTTCTGGAACCCAGTCGCACACTGCTGACCCTTTGTCACTCTCCGAAAATAATTCATCCCCTTTGCAGAAAGCTGAAACTTTTAGTATGTCATGTCTCAGGCAACAATTACTACGAGGCTACTCGTTAAGATCCATCGAAATCATTGAATCATCATGGAGGGATAGCACAAAATCTCAATACCAAGTGCATCTACAAAAATGGTTACAATTTTGTATGGAGAGGGATTGTGATATCATCTCCCCCAACTTACCACAGGCGTTAGATTTTCTGTCATCTCTGTTTGACTCGGGTTTATCTTATAGCTCACTAAATTCGGTGAGGTGTGCTGTATCTACTATTCTGCAGCTAAGTGATAGTGCAGTAACTTTTGGACAGTTACCTATTGTCAAGCGTTTTATGAAAGGTATATTCGAACTGCGTCCGGCACTCCCTCGTTACCAGACAACCTGGGATGTCAGTAAAGTTTTAGATTTTTTCCGAAAGCAGTCTATGCCTTCAGCGTTGACTTTAAAAGACCTTACTGTTAAAGTTACCTTTTTGTTATCTTTACTAAGTGGACAGCGCTGTCAAACAATTCACGTTTTAACTGTCGATAATATGATTCTCATGGCTGATAAGTGCACTTTTCACGTCAGGGAGAAAGTAAAACAGACGCGTGTTGGAACCCATGTGAAACCCCTCGAGTTTCTTTGCGTCGTTACGCATCTCTTAGAGTATGTCAAGAGAACTGCCTGTACTAGGAACGATACAAAGCAATTGCTATTTAGTCACGTAAAACCATATGGACCTGTCTCCAAAGATACAATCTCTCGGTGGATAAAATCTGTTTTGTCATCTGCGGGTTTAGATGTTACCAAATTTAAGAGCCACAGTGTTCGGGCAGCATCTACATCATTTCTAGCGTTAAATAACTGTAATATTAAGGATATTATGTTATCAGCAGGTTGGTCGAATGAACAAACATTTCAACGTTTTTATAATAAGCCGAGCGAGGATAAATTTAATTTTGGCAACTCTGTCTTAGAGTGTTATACAAACGCCAGTAGTTCATAGGATTTATATGTTAACGATACTTAGTCTATAATGGCTTTGTTTGTGGACACACCACGTACTTACTTAGTTGTTTGATATTACAAAATGTTGGTTTTATATTAAATATATATCTATTTTTGTTTTTACCAAAAATAATTTCCTTCATATCCCTTTGGGACAAAGCCCTCAATGATTGCTCTAAAATCTCGTACAACGTCACACGACTTAGGCTGATGACGAAATAGAATTGAAAATTAAACGAGACTTACCTGGAAGTTGAAGTTTGATTTGGATTCTATGAGTCATCAGCCGGGAGTGTGAGAGTTGTACGCCCTCCCAATATTTCTCCCCGTCCCGTTTCAAATATGGTACACTCTCACACTCATCATTGAGGTCTTTGTCCGTTAGCTCTAAAGACTGATTGGCGCATGCGCTCCACTCTCTCTCGTACAACTCTCACACTCCCGGCTGATGACTCATAGAATCCAAATCAAACTTCAACTTCCAGGTAAGTCTCGTTTAATTTTCAATTTATGGCCTTTAATGCTTTAATGAAAGGCATTAAAAGCGAAATTGTATTGGAATTTCAAGCGAAATTGTATTGTTGTTGACAAATTTATACTCGCTGTTTGTCCCGCCCGACCTTGTATTTGTAAGGCCTAATGTAATGGCGCAATAAGGATAAAAATACCACCGTTCGATTCAGCGTTTAAAACTGAATATTGTACTCATACGAATGAGAAATTGTACCTACGGATATCAAATGTATTATTATAAAACAACTGACAACAGTATTCTAGCGATTTATGGCCTTTGTCTTTGAAAGCCAAGCGAAATTGTATTATCTGTTAAAAAATCATTAATAACTCACGAGGAAAATACAAAAGAAATGTTTAATCAATGTTTGTAAATCGGATAAAGATTTGTCCTGATTTACATAAACTTCAGCTTTGATTTTCTCGAGTTAGACAATGTTAATTTTGAACTCATAAGATGGGTCACTTTTTACAGTAAATACGATAAAACATTCGCATCCGATCTGTATCTGATATACAAACTCTCGCCTTCGGCTCGAGTTTGTATATCAGATACAGATCGGCTGCTCATGTTTTATCTAGTACTTGACAAATCGCTCAAATTATAAAAAATGCAGTACGTTTGATCCTTGATAACTTGGTATGGTTGGTTTTCTCTTATTCGACCGTATACCAGTACCGTAACCTACGCCCTACGCGGTGTAGACCCCAGCAGAAACACGTTTCGTGAGAGGTCTACACCGTAGGCTATATACCAGTAGATTCGTCTCACTCCTCTCTTCATAGTTTTGATAATATTTTGAGCCCATAAGCCCCAAAATATTTTAGTTTGGACGTTTTAAACTGGCGGCCGACAGAAGAATGTAGCGTACTATAAAATATAACTTTACTTGTGGGCCATATAAAACGCCGGAAGTTTTATTTGTAGGGTACCGCATTTTAGTGTGTTGAGCTTTCGCGCTCGTATTCGACTTTTCCGCTTAGCTTGGGGCCAGGCTTAGATCTTAATTGAAATAGCTGTGTACTGTATCTGGTATCATATACAGTAATGTGCGTATTTGTATAGCCCCAGCGAGAGGTCAACGTTACACTAGAGGTCAACGTTTTCTTGCCTTTACCAGACCTCCCGATTTTTGGAGATGTCAAGTTGGAACGTCTGGCTATCAGTATGCACTCAAATGCGAACTACGGGAACTACAGTGTCATAATATTATCATCATTGCCTGTATCATCATCAGGAGTTTAGTTCATTTCGACTTTGCTAACTACCGACCTTCAAATTTCCTTACATGTACAATTTTCTTGACTTTTCTTGACTTCAAAAAAATTCTTTTCAATGAACTCTGGACAGTTGTTTCAATGTGGAAGCACTATTCAAAATGGCGACTCGCGAATTCAATCATGAGTGGACCATAGAGATTATAAATTTATAAATAACACTTTGTGTTATTTATAATCTCTATGGAGTGGACTACATAAATACAACGTTATGATGAATGCTAGACTTGTGTTACAGCACTATTTAATGAACAAAAATGTTGGGAGACTACTAAAACATTAACTGCTATCCCGATTTTTAAAAAAATGTGGTATCCCATCGGGATACAAGTAAAATAAACTTAGTATCCAAAACCAAATTTCAGTATCCCGTGGATATCGGGATACCGCAAATTTCAGACCCTGGGTACACTATGACTAAGTTGTTGTAAGTTGTAACATACCTTATTTGTTTTATTCCTTACTGTTCTGTTTATTAGTCATAATTTATAACATTGTTACAAACAATTTTATATATAATGATGTTGTGTAACAGAAGGGAAAAAAGGCCAGGCATTTAACTTTTTAAATTAAAGACCAAACAAATTGCCGTCGAAATTGCTGCCGAACGCTAAAATATTGACCGCAATTTTATGCCGACGAGGATTTATGCTAATTTCAAGGACTGGGAGTGCAGCTTACTATCATCTAAACCTGGAGTAAATTGCTATCAAGTTCAAATTGCTATCAGTCCCTCATGCCTACCTCCACAAAAATTGCTTCCATCAGAGGGTCATGCCAACCAATTCTATGGGATTTTTCATGTATGATCATCAGCCTAGACCTAGGCCTTCTATTTTTATTTATATTTTTTTAATATTCAGCGCTTTTTCACATGAAAAGACTGGGACTAGGTGATTTGGGGGCGGGGCGGAGGAAGGACACAAGCTTGCTTCCTCCGCCCCGCCCCCAAATCACCTAGT